CACCGAGGCGGCGGCGGCAGGAGCCGGAGGGGGAAGCGGAACCGCCGCGCGTGGCCCCCGCGAGGGCGGGGCGCCGCCCACACGACTACAACTCCCGGCGGGCAACGCGCCCGCGCAGGAAGCGGCGGCTGTGGCGGCGGCTGGTGGGAGGCGCAGTCCGCCGCTCGCTTCGCGGAGGGGAGCGCGGCGCCGGCGCATTCCGGCGGGCCCGAGCCGGTGCCTGAGGGAGCGGGTGGTCTCCGGGCGGTGCCCACGGCGGGGAACTACCGGCCCAGCCTCGCCCCCTGAGGGCCGGGGAGGGCCCCGGCTGGGAGGGGAGCAGGAGAGGCCCGCGGGACCGCTGCTCGGGGCCTCCTTCCCCTCCCGCCCAAGGCGCAGCGGTGCTGTTTTCGGGTCACGTCATCTAAGCTTTATATATATATATATATAAAAAACATTTATTTTTTTTTTCCTAGGGCCGTGGAATATAGCCAGCTGCAGGGGCAAAAGGCCACCACCCTAGAAAAGCAGAGGCAGCCACTTCTAAAGCGGCTCTTCTTCCCCCTTGCTGCCATCCTCTGGCACTTAAATTTGAGATTATTTCCTCAGTGCTTCATTTCACGAGGAAAAACGGTTCGGCACAGCACAGGAGCTTCATGCTGTGTTTCAGTGTCTCCTCAAGGTCTGCCTCGGCTCGCTGAGGTAAGGGGGCTGGTGGCAGCCAGCCTGCTTTGCAACCAGGAAGTTGGGAAGGGTGTCCAACAGCACCAAGGTGGACATGCTTTGTGTTCCTCCTCTGTGCTATGCTTGCTCTTCCTCCTGCCCTGAAGGTACTGGAAGGTGCTCATTTTTGTATCAATACAGCTGACAACAAATAAACCCTTCTCCCACTAACTTCTCAGGTCCAGAAGTCCAGGCGGCTCAGGGTTCAGCATTACCGGTGCAAGCAGCATGTGTTAGCTACAGCAGCAGGATGCAGGGCAGGTTTCCATGTTGCCACCTCCTACTATCAGCAACCTAAGCCACAAGTCAGATGTCCAGGTTCCAAGAGATGCAGTAGTAACACAGCTGAGAAAGCAGTGTACGTGCCCTCAAGACTTCTCCCCCAAAATTCCTGTGATACATTTAATTTTCCAGATGACTTCCCCAAGCATCCACCTGCCCTGCAGCCTGGACCTCATCTCCTCTGTCGGTCCAGACTTGAAGCAACATCTGATTTTTCTTTCCGAAGGAGAAGGATATGCATCAGGCAGCTCCTCTTCATAAAGGTCTGGGGGGAAAATAGCAAGCTTCCACTAAGGCCTCAAACCTCCATGCAGGTCCAGGCACAAAGAGTGCAAATCAGACTTTCCAGCTTCTGTTGCTTTCAACCAATGCTTCCTGGCTATCTTCTCGCTTACTCTCCACAGAGTTACTGCAGAGCCAGTGATCACAGAAAACTTGCCCCTACAGACCTACCTTATTTCAGCCCCATTCTTCCAGGAACAATACTCCAAAGTGACCCTGCTGTGGCTGCTGGAGACCACTCTGGTCTGCTTCCTACTGCGGGCAAGGCCATTGTCTTCGCTTCTCTTTGCATATTGCTTTGTTACTTTCCCACTCTGACTCAACTCCGTAGTTGATCCTCCCAGGATCAAGCTTTTGCTAATTCCTGTCTGCATGTACCTCTCAAGAAACCACAGCAGATTTCTGAACTTCACACTTACCTCAGCTCTACTGTCCTTCCCTGTAAGGTAACCTTACTTCTCCTTGCTGCTTTGGCCTTGTACCCCTAAACCCACTCAGCTCCTGCTCCAAACAATTTTCAGAATCCTTATCCCCCTCCCATTCTCCTGTCTCCTTCCCCAGGTGCGTCTTTTTAAACAAGCTAGGAGGGGGGTTTTGTTTTCTTTTTGTTAGACCCATTCATTTGTAATTCAGAAAGTCTGAAGTCCTAACATGCCCCTTCCCCTTTCATTGTTTTAATTCTGTCCTTACACACATTAATGACGGATATGTTTGTGTCCGGCCCTTATATCTATGTTCCCTTGCTGAGAACTCAGAGCCACCTCACTTCTGTCTGAATTTTTCCACAGGGAAACAACTGCCTTACAGCTCATCCTCCCTATCTGCCAGTGATCCCCATAGGGCTGGCACCTGCGTCCTCCTGTGCCTGGCACACCATCAGGGCATGCCTGCTAAATGCAGTGCTTGCTTAATGACACTGGTTTCTGGTATGAGAGAGAAACTTTAGAAGGCAAATTCCTTTGTACTTAACACTACAATAGTTATTAAACTTATTTACAGCTTTTAAAGAAAACCTTGGCTATTTTATTTGTAATAAAAATGCTATGGATTTAAAAACAGCAAATACTTGCTATTTGCCATAACACATCCATTGAGAAGTTCTGCGATTTCTCTCATATTTTATATTAATCAGAATCGGTATTACTCAAATTCAGCTGAAGAGCTTATCAGTGGGATCTCAATGAATTGTAGATACACTTAGCGAGCCACATGCCAACGAAACTGATCAGTGCACATTTAAACTGTTCTGAAGTCAACTGTTTGTTCAGTACTGACAGCACTAAGCCCCCCTGTAATTCAGGCCCCTCCTGCCTCAGTTTCTCCTACAGCATCTTACCACTAATGTGGGTTTCCATTCTCACATCCTCACTTGTACAGATTTCCAGATCATCCACTTATGTATTTTTGCCATTTGCAATATTTTTTCTCGTTTGTCCAAAAGACGTTACCATTTCCTTTCACTAGGCTCTGATATCAGGCAGCTTGCTTTAGCTAAGGAATTCAACCTGTGATTTTTAACTATTGTTATCTGATGTTTAAAAAAAATTGTGAGCTTTCAGGCGATAAAGACCTGCCAGAGCTGAGTGACAATCTGGGATGTTGCCATTCCAAGGGTCTGACTGCAACACAGAATTACTTACCTGCGTAAGAGAGAGAACAGAAGAACAAAGTCAACTGTGGGAATTAAAAATCCCACTTGGAGACAAGCGTTACAACACTGGTCCACAGCCCTGCTGCACTGATGTGGTTAAACAGGCCGCCAAATCCCTCTGCAATTGTTCTCTTCAAGTTTTCCCTTCCCCCAAGCAGATGCAATGCATGACTCCTCTGAGGTAGTGGATGAAGTACTGGCGCAGCCATCATCATTCAGCACAGTCAAGGGAAAACAAGAGCCCAGTGTCAGAGCACTTGCCAACCTGTCGTGGGCGAAATCACAAGACGAGCTCTCTATTGAATTCCAGCAAAAGCAGAAAGATGCCCAAGGGATCCTGAACCTACAGCTGGACAGCAATGAAAGGACGATTCTGCTGATGAGAAGTCTCAGCTGCACACAGAGCCCTCAAAAGGAGGACGGACTCTGAAAACCATAATTTTCATTCATCCCCTGCACACACGCACTCCCCAAAATCACCTGCTTTTACTAACTTACTCTCAGTTTATAGAGAATAAAATCTACTTTCTCCACCAACAGTCCCCAGGAGTTACTGTAAGCTCACAATGCCACCTACTGACAATTAGAAACAGCAGCCGAGCTCTTCTGTCAATCCAGAACAACCCAGGTTTTCCATTAAGTAATTTCCTCTCCATTTCCTTGTATTTAGCAACTGTTCTGGTGGCTGAATACAAGTCTTCTAAATATTTGCTTCTAGTTAGTATCTTTTCACCAGATTCCATTTTCCAAGGGTTACTCTTTCCACTTCTGAAATAGGGTGAAATTTCTTTCAATTTTTTTAAACTTCCTCAGCTCTAATTTGACCAAAAGCAGCTAATACCTCTCAGTTATTAGAACAGGAGAGATTATTTAAGCCTTCTTCTGTTCTCACAAATTCATATGTAACCCATCTGGGCAGTGTAAACAAGCTTAAAATTCAGCAGCTTTAATGACTAGCTAATGTTTTTCACACCTTTAATAACCAAGCCCCGGGTCCATTGGTTTAAATTCAAGAAATACAAACACCTCTGCAAGAGGTAGCACTGTAGTTGAAGCAGACTCTGGGCCAGAGGGAGGGAATCGGAACCAAAACTGTGGTGGTCCTTCCAGCTTTTTGCAGCGCTGTTCCTACCCCCCATCTGCTTTGTCTATTGACAACGCACCAAAACAGTCTTCTGGTGTGTGAAAGGTGTTTGTAAGAATTAGGCCAAGGGAACTATAACCCATTACAGGACCCTCACACATTACCAAGATATAAATAACAGTAGAACAGGATTAATTTTATTTTTTTTTACTGAGAGGGTTGTCAAACATTGGAATGGGCTGCCCAGGGAAGTGGTTGAGTCACCATCCCTGGAGATAATCAAAAAGCGAGTGGACAGGGTACTTCAGGACCTGGTTTAGTGGGCATGGTTAATGGTTGGACTTGATGATCTTGAAGGTCTTTTCCAACCTAAATGATTCTATGATTCTATGATAATTTAGGAACCCGATGTAATATTCAGTTAGTTTTGCTGGATGGAGGTCAGCCGTTCCGTATTTCTTTATTCTGAGCAGGTCACCAGGGAGAAGTGTCCATGTTTGCATACAGCTGCAAGAATCAGAGTGGAACAGAGCACCGTGGCAAGAAGAGTCACGACACACACTAAGGAACTATGTTGCCTGAGCCCCACTGGAACCTGCAAAATCGATTCCTCATATGCCTACAAAGAAAATAAATGGATTACATGCATTTAACAAGCTATTTCTTTTTGACTGCAACTTAGAGGATTAGTAACCAGACCACTATTTAATTAGCCCTTTGCTAAGGCTTCTTCTGGGATTCAAAATCAAAACGAGGATGGACATAACCTTTCAATTTATAGCAAACAGAGCACCAGCCGCTCCTGCAGTGCAAAGCTCAGTAAATTTACCTGCTACCATTTTAAAAGGTAGCCATTTCTATCCCCTGTATCTTTGTTCTTACAATAGGCTTGCCTTTGAGGATATGGATGTAATACAGCATGGAGGAGAGAAGCTCTCAGAATGAGCATTTCTCAGATCACTGAGAAGCCAGTTTTCTCCAGGGCAAACAACTGTGTGCTTTCTCTGTGATGCAGGAAGCTCCAAAACGTTTTTGGACAAGAGCAGCAGATATCCCAGATGTCTGCAGGTATCTTAAATATAGGAAGGCATGTGTGTTACAAAAACAACAGATTTGTTACAAGACAAATTAGTCTTATTTCTGAATCTCTACACTACTGCAACCCTTTTGAGTATCAAAGGCAGTTGTTGACCACACTAAAGATCCAGCTTTCTGGTTTTGAACACAGAATAAAGAAACTTCACCTTTTCCTAGATACTTAGCCAATCAGATAACAACCAACCAATCAGAAGTGGCCTTTTTTTAAGATGTTATCCCTTCAGTTTCTGGGGGTTTACTCTTCTTTAGTTAGATTATAAAGTAGCTTTCCACTTTACCACTCCTCTGAAGCACCTATTTTTCAACGACCTTTCTTAATTTGACGACTACCAATTACATCCTAGAATTCCAAGTAAACTATTAAAAAAAAAGGTGAGGAGAGCAGCCACCATAAAGGACTAGAAGAGCACAGAGTGACCACAAGCATGTCAGAAGGGCAGGATGACCCCCATTAAAAGCTGGTCAGAAAGGAAGAAGGGAGCCTCCCTAAAGAGGAGTCACACAACTAGTCTTTTCTTTTACAGATTAGTTCCTGTGCTATGGAAGTTGCTAACCACAGAAAAAAGGCAGCAATTGTTAAATGAGAACCAAGAATTCCCACCAGAAATAAGAACTCACAGGTTTATGTGTTACGCTGTACCACTGACAGGGGCTGTCAGTTTTGCCCGAACACGGAGCTTCCACTTCAGCAGGCTTCCAACACTCTGCTGACAGGCGATCTATGGAAGATATTAATGTGTCAGCAGGATCCAGACAGGAGGAAGCAATATGGCCTGCAAGACTTTTCCAAATGAGGTATCTTTCCTCCACAACAGCTTGACAGAAACTCCTCCCTGAAAGCCAATAGGTGAAACAGCACTGACAGAAACGTACCAGCTAACCTGCATGGTTAAAGTGGTCCGGGGCAGTCCTTTTCATGAACTTTGCAACTCTTCCCTTCCTGATACAGTAGCTACTCAAGAAAGAATCTCACCTGTGGGGTATCTTGGGCCTTCTGTCCTTAACAGGGCAAAGAATTCATCATTGGCCTGTAGACCCCTCAACTTTAGCCACACAGTTACAATTTCTCTTCCCCCAAAACAAAGAAGTCATTCTTCCATTTCTCCTTGTTGACCTCCTGTTGGCACACAGAACAACTCCCCTCCAATACTTCGAATGCTTTCATATTAATAATAAGTATGTTTTCTTGCTTATAAGTAGTAAAGGTGGAAAAAAAATGGGAAGATTTCACACCCCTTTTTTAACTGACCAGGCAGTCTTCCCTGCCCCTAAATTTATCCCAGAAAATCACTGCTCAGATAATACACAAGTGAAGATAAAGGAGCTGAGAATCATTAGCACATTTGACTTAGCAGCTAGCAAGAATGATTTTGTGAAAGGAAATACAATTTGTAGCAAAAATGTAGGATTTCATTGTCCATGTAATCTGAAATATTCATTGTCAGTGGATAGCAGGAGTCTGAGACTCCAACCATTCTAACCTTCAGGCACACAGTTTTCTACATTCCCCCCTTATATGTGGGGAATGCAGGAAGAAAGTGTTAGAAACCATCAGAATACTTTGATTACTCTAGATACTTGATAGTGAATATTAAATATGCCCCGCATGGCTTCAGCTGCCAAGAGAAACGCTGTGAAAACACAGTCTGAGCAGCTGACCTTTAACAAGCCAGGGCCTGTCGGGATAGTGACAAACAGACCAACTGCCAACACTTTAAGGCGCAAGAGCCCAAATAGCCTGCTACAGTACAAGGGTACAACAGCAGCAGCGCAACACCAAGAAGCCTGTTGACAATTAATCTGCCCTTGGCCAGGCAGCAGCAGCATTCAAAGAGGAAGACAACATGGTCTTTATCAGGGCCACTATCTTCCCCTCGTGTTCACATGACTACTGAGAGCTCCATCTCCGGAAGACAGATTCCAAGCTCTGGATTGCCCACGGTTATTCCTCTGCTCCCCAAAAGAACACGTAACGACAATCTCACTGTCACAGCAGCAGACCAGTACTTCTGGGCTCTTCAGAACAATCAATGCTTCCTCACTCTCTTCTGCCGGCCGGTGGTACCGCCCGTGAACAGGCAAGGCAGCTTTAAAACAGCGAGAGCACCGAGGGTCAGGTTCCACGTACAGGAGAAGAAGAAGATCTGTAGCTAAGTACTCAGGGGCCTCCACATCAATGACATCAGGAATTAACACCGCCTGCAAGTGGAGAAAGATACAGATGTGGTTGTGATCAGAACTGACACAAAGGAGGGATGCTGGAAAAAAAATGTATGAACATTTTGTGCATGATTCTGGGATTGAAGAGGCCACTGTCTGCTGCGGTAACCTACTGCAGCATCAGACGGGAAAACTATTTTCCTCATTCTATTTTCTAACACTGGGCCTGATTTCACGGTCAGGAAGATCAAGTTGGAAATTCTGTCCTTAAACTGTTCCAAAATAACTTTTCAAGATCCTCTCCAATGAGTGATTCTCACGTGTGAAAAGTTTACAGTGCAACCATGCCTACAGCCAAACCTAAGAGGCATTAGCTTAATGATGCCTATAAGCAAGGCCATACCAGCACTTGCAAGCATCCCAACAGCAGAAGTTGCCCAGTGTCGGGGGATGCAACGGGTCTGCGGAATGCCTGACAGTTCGAGAACAGCACGACCTTGAGGAGCTTGTAGTGTATCCTTGAAAGTCTGGAAAGATCCGAGAAGGGCGGTACAAAAACAACATAGTGATAAGAACCGTCCTGATGAACTCACCAATCATGAATTGTTAGTTACTAACTAAACAAATCATATACTAACACCTACTCTGAAGAAGGGGATAAAAAGGTGTGTTAGAACAATAAAGTAGTCATTTTGCATGATCTATTACTTGTCGTGTCCGTCTCTACCGCGCCAGCCCAGTCTTTGCAGCTGTATGTTTTAACTGAATTAAGGGCCTAAGGAGATTACCTTAAAGCCACAGCTTTAGCACATCTCTCTACCCAAAATGCAAAGCAAAGACTGGAAAGCAACACAGAAAACTGTGATGAAAATGAAGCTGTGAAGCTACTCAGTCTGAATGTGCAGCACTCTACTTAGAGCTCACCACCGCCTCTTTTGTGGGGGTTAACCTTCCCTCTTCTCAAGCTGAATAGCTTTTACCATAGTTGTTCATCTGGGTCTGAGCAGAGTAGCAGTGGCTCCCCGTACGCATGCCTGTGTGTACAAATATCAGCAGCACGTGACACAAAAGGCCCTGCACCGGATGATGGTGATCAAGCTGAGAGATACAATGAGATGTCACGAAGATGATACTGTGCAGCTTCTCCTTCCAGGAAAAGGAATTAATCACCTTGGTTCAACGAGCCAGATAATGACCAGAGATTACAACTTCTTGAGCATACTCGTCATTATCTGAGTAAACGTCAGATGTCTTAGCTTTGGGGTTGTTACCTTTGTTAAATTGTGCTGCTGCAGTGATGCCAGCTCATAAGGATCCACGTAGATTCCTGGAGGAAGACGAGTTCTAGCTGCCACTGCGCATCCTCCTGCATCTTCCCCCACTACACCGAGTTCTACCTTCACCAGCAGGTCCCTTCAAACAAGCAACAGAAGCAAAACATTTATACCTGCACTTCAAAAGATGGCACAAACCCCCCCTAGAAATGTACTCTCAAATGTGCCGAGATGCGATGCAGCTCTCACGCACTATGTCCGACAAATTCAGAAAGAGTTCCCTGTCGAGCCATGCTGTCCTTCTCCGTTTAGGATGATGTAGTTCACCCTAACACCACATTCATGACCAAAATGAAGTTTCACGTCTTTGTTAACTTCTTAGAACTACCAACGGCCTCTGCACAGATCTTAGAAAGGGGCCTCCTGTTCTTCCTCCACTATAGCTTGTAATCTTTAATTACTTGATCATGCTAATACATTCCTAGTGCCTAGCCATGCCTACAGATCACAGCTCAGTGAGTTGATACAACTGTGCATGAATTAGAAGAGAAGCTTCTTCACATGTAAAATTACCCAGCACGTTGTTCTGACGCAGCGCCAGGGTGACAACTCACCTGTGAAACCCCTCTTTCAGAAGCTCCTGCGTGACAGTGGCATCCTGACAAGCAGCCCACACATCTAAGATAACACAAAACGAACGAGTAACAGTGTTTACAGCACACATCATTATCACATGGGCGCACAACTTTAACAAGTGAAGTCGTATAATCTATGAGCGCATCCTCTGCAAAACCTCTCACAGCAAAAGAGAGACAGTATTTCAATTTAGTACGACCACCAGCTGTTTTGTCAGTAGAACACCAAGCTCCAGCTACCACGAAGGCTGAAGTATCTCTCTTTTTTTCCCAGTAGAGCAACTTTCCAAAGTGTGCTTTTGTTTTTACTGAGGAGTCTGTAATAATCCCCACTTTCCCCCACTGCAACCCCCATTCCAGGTGTGATTCCTTATCTCCTACTTCTGTATCAGTCCCTGTAAGATCCAGATTTTAACACTGAACTTTGTGTTACAGCCACTCTTGTCTTTATTTTTACCCTGTTTCCACAGGATTTCCCTTTTAGATCTGAAACTCCAGTCGTCTTATGGACAACATCAGTATCTGCTTGAGTGGAGACCTAAAGCAAGGTGACGTTGGCTTTACATGAAATTTCGTGGAAGGTGTTGCAGCTGGTTTTCAGTTACCTAATCTGGAAAATTGCTTGCTTCTATTATTAATTTCAATAACAGAGTATTTCCGTTGGAAGAGACCTACAATGACCATCTAGTCCAACTGATGACCTGACCACTTCGGGGCTGACCAAAAATTAAAGCATGTTATTAAGGGCATTGTCCAAATGCCTCTTAAACGCTGACAGGCTTGGAGCATCGACCACCTCTCCAGGAAGCCCGTTCCAGTGTCTGACCACCCTCTGGGTAACAAAATGTTTCCAAACGTCCAGTCTGAACCCTCCCTGCCGCAGTTTTGACCCGTTCCTGGGCGTTCCCGCCCCTGGATCCCCGGGAGAAGCGCTCAGCACCTCCCTCTCCTCAGGAGAGTGCGGGGCCGGCACTTACGGAGGGCGCAGAGGAGCGCGGCCAGCCAGGCGCGGAGCGGCGCCTCGGCCCGCCGGCCGGCTGCCATGGC